CTTATCAAGCATTGAAATACAACAGACATGGACTGACAAACCGATATGAATGAGAAACACGAACATGTCGGAAACGAGAAAAGACTTGTGAAATGATGTTTGAATATTATCGCGATTTCAATACTTCTATCGTTTAGGCAGTGTTAGGTCTTGAAAGTTGATTCAGTAGCGGAGAAGCCATGGCTAAAACATTCTTCATGTTTGATGTTATTGAAAGATCTCCTAGTATTAAGAAGCTGTTGATCCCCGTGATACATCGCACCTGTTAGACATAATGAGTCACATATTTTCCATACATCGGCCATGGAAACAGAAATATGATAGATTGATTTTATACAGTTTGATATGTAGAGGTCGACGATGCATGTACCTAAGTGAACATACCTAGTAAAGATCCGAATCCGTCTTTTGAAAAGACTTGATCAATCCCTTTTTTTTAAAACCTCCGACGAAGACGTGGGAAGCAAAGAGTCAATCTACTTGACGCCATTTTCCGAGTTCCACCCATGAACCGTACACCCATGTCAGATACCTACCATTCGGGGTATTTACCAAACCCTTCTCCAGTTCGGTGGTAACGTTTCCGTGAGCATTTTATTAAATTCTTCCGATTGAAGGCATACACATTATACATGAGCAATTAGTTCGATTTAATCAAAGGGAAATGCGGTGGTTATAAAGTTAGTCGGGCACATCGAGAGACGATTTGAGGGAACTTATGTTATTCGCCGACGGGTCAAAGTTTTGACTGTGACGAGAACGAAGGCCGGAAAAGTTTTACAGGAATTTTTTAATAAACTGAATGGTTTCGGAAAAATAAAGAATTTAATATATTTTTCGTATTTGCTCAAGTTATATGGCTTTTAATATGGAAGCGTGGGTAGGAAGAAACATACTTTCTTGGAATGGGAGCCATATCAGTATACGTAGGTCAAGTAATTGTTTTGTCAATACGGATAGAACGTGTTACTTAGAGTTAAGTGTAATTATTGGTTCTCTGGATATGATATGAATTATCGATGATCGTTTTTTGTAGTTGGTGCCGTTTGTTCTTATAAGGATATAAAGGGCTCATGAGTACGACACAGGTAATTATTGTTAGTGCACTTAGTGCACCCCAGTGGCGTATACAGTTTGTGATAGATCACGAAATAGGGTGTTTCCTTACTGAATGTCAATATTTACAGATACAATTTTTGGGTCCATTTTAAAAAGAAAACTTGATACGAACGTACGTCCTAAACGTCTTACTTTTGCTATACAATATAGAAAGTCAGTGCCAACCACTGACTTTTCTTAAATAATAAAAAAATGTAAATCTGTAACCATTAATGAGATTTGATCTCCTTGAGAGAGAAAGCTATTTCTCTGCATGTTGATATTGTCATATTAGCAATATTGTTATGACCATATAGAGAAGTAGTTTTTATTTTTTTAAGCGAAAATTGTCCATCGGACTTGAAGATTACAAGAATACTTTTTATTTTAAAAGGAATCAGTGGTACCATCAAAATCTGCGGCATGTGAGAATGAGTACGAATACCACTGGCGGAAAAAAGTAGTAGGATAAAAAGTGCTTCCTGATACGTAGTACAGGTATGTCATTAAAATATCTGAAGTGGTATCGCAGATACTAATAATAAATAATTTATTTTTGAAACTTTACCACCGTGTATCTTAAAAGTTAAGACGGTTAGGACATACGTCCATATGCAGTCTTCTTCTTAGAATAGATCAAAATCGGCCCCCTAAATATTGACATTCAATTAGGAAACATCCTGTACAAAGGCTGCGGCTGCTTCGGTATATAAAAAAAGATTCTCCAATTTCTGAAGAGCCTTCTTTTTTTGTTGGATCAATACATCCTGAGATAAATTTAAAGTTTCTTTGCCTGTAGCTTAAAGTTAATCATTGTCATAATAAAATTTTAGTACTGTACTGAGCCAACCCAGCACTTCCAGATCCCCAACATTTCAAGAGATTTCAACCTGACTTTAGCGAAAATAGGTGTAAAAGTCGTGAATGTTACGAACTCAGTGGAATAGAGCTATATAAAAAGTTGCTGATCTCAGTAAGTCTCCGTTATTAATATGCATAAAGCACAGAAGCCACCTCATTTCCTCTAAAGGGGCGCCTTAGAACCCCGAGAAATTGATTGAATCTAGAACATTACACTTCAGGGAAGAGAGGATTCGAGACTTATTAAATTTTTGGTAGGATGCTATATCCTTTTTAAACTCTACTTTATCAATAAAACAGAATTTGCAAGTAGTTTTTCAACTAACAGAATATTAATCAAAATCGGAAGCAAATCATGTTATTCACATTAATACAAATGATTTCTAAGCAGGTTTACTTGGATACTTCTACCCAAAAATCTATATGCTGGTGATAAGAGTTTTGAATTGGCTAAAGTCAGAAAAATCTATAATGCAGTTTTTCGCGTTTAGATTGACGAGTGCTTCGTTTACTTTCACGCACGGACGCAAACAAATTGATTCTGCATTGGAAAACTTCAAAGTTTTGCTTACTGATGAGGTTCGTTTAGGTACACCAAGAAAAAAATATTTAAATCAACTAAGATTTATTTAGGGAAATTGAAAATTTTAATTAACTATGTGGCGGCTAACAAGTTTAATGAGTTTAATTAATCCCCGTTTTCTACGCCAGTTGACTCCACCTATCGGAAACTAGTTTAGCTAAACTAAAACGCAAACGATTAGTTAAATTTATTAAACCGTTTACTTATATTGAGTACATCGATATATTTAAAATTAATGGACTATTAAAATGAGTTTGCCTGTTCCAAGTAAGAAGATTAATTATATTTATTAAATTTGTTTAATTAGTTTAGGTAAGTGTTTGCCTAGTTTTAATGAATTATTTTATTTAGATTTAAAAGGATATTTGGATAAAATTTGGAATTAAAAAGAATTAATTGCATTTTACTGAATGACGATGATATATTATAACTGTGCTCTGACAAATCTTAGATCTTCCCTCGCTAGGGTGTGTGTGTGGCGTCCCCCCATTCCCCTGTATCTCCCTATAGCCCCACGGTACCGATAGGTGTTTAAGCTTAGGCCTTCGTTGTCGTTGGAGTATAAAAAAATATCAAGATTTTACCAATTATTCTGTCTGTTTGTCCAGAAACAGGTTATAATGTAACACCATTCATTCTTTGTTTTAAATCCAGGAAGTAGAGAAAGGGATATCTGAAACTGAATAAGGCCAATTGATCATATGTACAAAAATTGTACTTTTATTTCTAATAAAAAACAATATTGCACGCACCCGGATTCAATGCATTTACATACATAAATAAATTCGACAACACTTTAAACAAACTAGGACATTCTCAAACACTACACCAGTCTACACCAAGAGGAAGCTCCACTTCCTATATATGTATTCAGTCTACAGTATAAAAGAAATTCACATCAAGCCTATGTTGTTTGGTATAAATGCCCTTCATTGACCTAAATATGGCTACACAAATGAAATTTCAAAGTTATTCCCATTCTAAAGCTGGTTATGGATCTCTAGGCGCGCTACCCTCGAGTATCTCACTTGATCACCATAATTGATTCACTTTATAAATACTTCGAGTACATCAACAATGGCAACGTTTGTATATGAAGCTCCTCGCGAAAATCACAAATAAAACTGCAGAGTTCGAATCGAGTCACGTTACCGGCACTGTGCCTGTCGCATACTCCCGATCATTCACGAATGAACAGTTCTGGCGAGTTCTCGATTCAAATAAACAGATTAACTGTTTTTATTAAAATGTTTAATTGTTTTAAATGTATTACTTTCAATTATCGAAATGATTTAGTAACTTAGAATAATTAAAAAATTCATTACGAGTAATGGAAATTTTCCAGAACAACTGTTTAATTGGCCACGTTTTCTCAGTGTGCTTGTAAACAACATACCCGAGGACTATACCTTCTTACAATAGAGTCATAGTGTGGCCTGAGAAGTTTTTCATTTAGAAGCAATCATTTTTTCGCTGCGTTTCTTGCGGTTATCAACAGCAAAGTATTATAAAGCTCCAGCATCATCCATATTCGGAGAGTTATCCCTTGAAAGAGGGTAATAGGATTCCCCTAAATGCAAACATAAAGTAGCAGGGGAGGACGACGAGACACAGTGCAGTTTTCTATTCAGAAATTACTTTTCTGTCAGAAACGATATACTGCGAGATTTGTCAAGATCTGTATCCATTTAAATATGCTCTTCTATAATGACGCAGCGGTAAGGGTCGCGAATACCATCACTCCCTCTTGCTTAGGTGAGGGCGTATGTTCATTGGGGTTCTAAAACATAGGCGGGGATATTTAAAAAATAAGGGCAACCTTTACCCCAAAGCGAAAATTAGTAGGTATGCTCAAAGGGAAGCGTTATCTAATTTCAGGATCATAAGTGGTGCCATAGATAGGTAGATCCAATACTTTATTCATTTATCTATTTATTACTTACACACGCCAACAAAATTTTATAGCATACGTAAACAATCGAATTCTAATAGTAGTAGTCGAATGTAGGTCGCATATATCTATCTACAGGAATTACGTATTCGTAAAACGCCACAATTTAAATGTGTGTGAAAAGATACATTTTCAGAAAGAAAACTTCTTGTCTGCTTAAAGGCATTTAAGCTTAAGGATCTGATTTGCAGTGGCAATTTATTGTAGTATGTAGTATTTTTAAAACTTTGTTGGCTTTTTGATAACCTCACAAGAGCAATATTTGAGAACCCAGCACTCCTTGTATCATAGTCAGTATGCAAGATATGTTCACTACAACTAAAAAGTTGCTTAGCATATGCTGGTGCTTCATAAATGTACGAGGGATGTCTTTTAAGTTTTGCATATAGAAACATAGTAGGCCGCGCGGATTGAACGTCAGTACTAAATCACTCTTTAGCTAACTTAAATTCAAAGTTTCACAACAATACGTGTTCTCACTACAGTGAATTTTTAAGTGTCACCGAGTCATTAGAAAAATGGAACTCAACCGAGAACATTTTCGCGCCATAATTTATTACAACTTTCAGAGACAATTATCGCAACAAGAATGCCTTGTTGAGTTACTGTCTGTTTTCGGCAACGAAGCGCCACATCAGTCGACAATTTCCCGTTGGTATGGAGAATTCAAACGTGGTCGGGTCTTAGCGACGATCCCAGGGTGGGTGCACTAAAAACGGCAGTCACCCTGGAAAACGTCGATGTTGTGCGCAAACTCATCATTGAAGATAGATATGTGACATAACGCGAGATTGAGGCGTCCTTGAAGATCTCAAAGACCTCAATTAAAAAAAATTTACACGAAGAATTAGGAGTAAGAAAATTAGTTTCTCGTTGGATACCCCACCTGTTGACTGAAGAGCAGAAAGCCGACAGGGTTAATTGGTGACAACAAACGCTTGACCGTTTCAATTCCGGAAACTCAAAAAACGTGTACAGCATTGTTAGAGGTGATGAATCGTGGACTTACTATTATAAACCAGAAAATAAACGACAGTCGGCTGTTTGGGTGTTCCAAGGTGAAGAAAAGCCAACAAAAGTCATCCGTTCTCGAAGTGTTTCAAAAAGTTGGTCGCGACATTTGTGTCAAAAGCGGGTCATATTGCAACAATTCCTCTTAATGAGCAAAGAACTGTTACTGCGGATTGATATACCACCATTTGTTTTCCAAGAGTCATCACCGAGCTTCGAAAAATCAACCCCGAAAGAAGAATCATCCTCCACCAAGACAATGCAAGCTCGCACACAGCCCAAAAAAACAAGGCAGTATTTAACGGAAGAAAACGTGGAATTATTGGACTATCCTCCATATAGTCCCGATCTATGTCCTAACGATTACTTTACTTTTCCGAAAGTTAAAAACAGACTGCGTGGTCAAAGGTTCCAGTCACCAGAAGAAGCAGTTGACGCATTCAAAAATGCCGTTTCGGATCTGCCAGCAAACGAGTAGAATAAGTGCTTCGAAAATTGGTTCGAGCGCATGCAGATGTGTATTAATCTTCGTGGAGAATACTTCGAAAAACAATAAAGTCATTTAAAACTACCTACCGTGTTGTTTTATTTCCATATGCAAAACTTAAAAGACATCCCTCGTATATTGACGGCAATGTAAGCATCCTCTATTCTTTGAATATTTGTTTGCAACTTCAGTGTACTTCGGTGAATACAATATTCTAGTTGCCCCCCTTTGTAAAGAGAATAGTCGATTCCAATCTGCGCCCTAATCCCAAACTAAGATACCATTTGATATTAAAGAGTGGCATAGAGAATAATAAACCGAGTTCAACTCATGTGATGAGCTTCTAAGTAATAAATGTTTTTTCTCAGCTTTTTCGCTGTTTCATCAATGTGCATGTCCCATTTCAATTTCTTGTATATGGGTATACCCAGAAATTTTGTATGTTCTGTATGTTGTTATTCTAGATCTTTCAATGAAAATATCATATTAGGATCTCGGAAATGGACACCATCTATAGTCTTTCGAATCAGAAGCAGCAAAACACATGCATGCCACTGTTGAGCTTTTTGAATATCGCGGGATATTGGTAAGCAAATTATACTGTTTCCTCTGGCGTGACGCAAGGATCGAACTTACGTTCTTTGCTGTTTTTATTCTTCATAAATAACCTTACCGCTTCACTAAGGTGTCACAGGCTACTATTTGCTGATGATTTGAAAATCTACGCCAAAATAAAAAGAGAACCGTATTCCATTTCAGAAGGACTATCACACTCAGTGGTGTGACAATAACTTTCTCTTCTTAAATATCTCCAAGTGAAAAGTTTTGATTATGTTTGATTACTCCACAAATAATGCGGTTTTGGAGCGAACAACAGAGACTAAAGATCTTTTTTCTGTCCATTACTTCTCAAGCGACACGGATTCTGGAATGTATAATGCGTAACTGCCGGTCTTTTTCTGATGCATCTGAAGCAGCATTCAAAAACTCGTTTGGCTGGTGTGACCAAAACTTGAGTAGGCTTCTTTGATATGGAAACCTTTCTATGCATATTATATAAATATAGAACGTACAAAGAAAATTTCGTAAATATTGTTTTTATAAAATTGATGGCATATCTCCAGAAAGTCAATTTATTCTGCTGCGATCTTTCAACCTAGAGTCTTTACAATTAAGACGTTAAAATGCTGCCCTAACATTCCTCCACAAGCTTTTGCACGATTAAGTAGATGCATCGGAACTTCTTTAGAAGTTGAATGTTTGTATACCGTGTTCAAATTCGAGAAGGACTTTCTATTGCAATACCTTCCGTATCAACGTATTATTTTATTCATAGCTATGTTCTATATACAATACTTGTAATTTCATAGCAGACAGTTCTGACATTAATTTCGATTGTATCAGTAACATTTTGTTAAATTTCAGGGACTATTACAATAGCTAATGTTTATTGTTTGTTTTATGTGGTTCTTGCATGTACACTATAACTTCAGGTATTATTATATTGCATTGTAATTGGATTAGTCTGCTGGGCAATTATGTATTAATAAATAAATACACAAGTACATAAATAAATACGAAAGTTATGCTACTCTCCTCCGTTTTGGTACCCAAATATAACAAGGCTTCAAGTGGTTAATAAGCGGTTAAAACTTTGTTGAATTATGCACTGTTGTTATTTAAAAGACAAGATAAATATCTTCCTGATACGTCCCTGGTGTAGGGTACATGACCTAAGTTCAATTGACTGGAAACGATTCCGTTTACATTCAGAAAAAAAATCGAAACATCCCCAGCCTTAGGCCTATGCCTGGGAATTGGAAAACTTAAATTACTGAGCAGAGATTACATGGGCCAACTTAAACAATTTTAATGGGATTAAAGTAATGGTTTTTGCGAATTTCCTCTATAAAGAAGGGAGGCAAACTGAGCAACAGGGGTTAAAATTAATCGGGCGAATATTTTTCTGTTTTTGGGAAAAGATTTATGAATAGCGTCAATTTGGGAGTATTCAAGCTAAGACCATGGCGGAGGCTTGAATAGAGAAAAGCCAGGTTTTCTTTACAAAGAAACGCTTGGAGTAGCAGGGGAAAAGATTTCTAGTTATCCGCAGGCGATTTTGTATAAAGGAAGAGAGAATTGTGCGTTCAGGCAGAAGCTTATTTTTCTCTCCTGGATTTATGCTGTCAGGTTAGGTTTTTGGATAATAGCACACGTTTTTTCATTGGATTATGCCAGGATATTTGTATTTTTTAGCAGATTCAATTGTCTTTTCGTTTTGTCTCTCCTAGCACTTTTATTTTGTAGAATCACAAAACTGAAGCAAGTTATCGTGAGATACCAAAAACGGTGAGAATGTAGACAATAGCATTGAACACATTCCTTATGTCAAGGAAATACGCTGAAATTTGATACCAATGACTTTAGATCCGATTGAAAGAGTAAACTAAATTAAACCTTCCTAACGATGAATAAGATTATATTTTGTTTGTTATTAAGTAGACGTGAACACAATGGGGGAAGAATTGTGAATCAATTATTCGTTTTTCTATACTTTTTTATGGATGATAAACAATTTTCTATTTTATATAAAATATGCAGCAGTGTTTCACTTTCCTTATCTCATGATTTAAATAAATATTTGTATATCTTTAAAGTTATAACATTTCCAATTTTAAGTTGTTTGACATACTTTTGTTGTATCATATAGTTGTCACATTGGGGTATAATGGCTTTAGAATGACGCTCATTTACATATTGTGCTTCGCCTTTTCATTCGATATCAATATTGTAGCTGTTACAGTAGTACAGCTATTTTGTGGCGGCCGCCATATTGGACTTATTGTCTTTTACTCATCAAGTAATTTCATTTGGTATCCATGTCATAGGGGTGGTCATTGTGTTCGTCTCATCAAGATCTTTCATTTGACACCCATAGTATAGGAGTGGCTAAGGAAATAATAAACGCCGCCTAGCGGCGGTCTCCATGGATGTCGACGACGTCACTTTGATTATGATGTTTTCTCATCAAGCCCTTTAATTTGATACCCATATCATGGGGATGACTAAGGCATTGATGAATCGCCATTTTATAGCATCCGAATTCAAAATGTCGGCTTTAATTAAGTTTGTAATGTCACCGGAACCAAAATTTCAGCTCAATTGCATCAACATTCAGTTACAAGTTTTATCACATTCATATATACATAATAACAGATCAGGTTGTATTGCAAATATATAATGTAGAAACCTACCTATTCAATGATTTTGTAGAAAAGTTGAAAAATAGTATACTTGATTGTTCCTGGACAATCCCCGATGATTTTGCACTGCCCCTAATTTTTTTGAAGTTATCCTTTTTTAAGCTCTTGGCGGTGGACGATAAGTATCATTTTTTAAATAAGCAAACTTGAGGCCTTAGGCCCGTCTTCACCAGATTCTTTAATTGAAATTGAAACATAATCGGATATCGCGGTAATTTTCAAAATTGTGTATTTAATTAGAAAAGTGATCTGTATTTTATATTGGCTGGTGTGTTTAGGAAAAATTGTTATCGTTTTCAATATATTATCTTTGATTAAAGTGATATTGGGGAGATTATATAATATGGCATATCAAAGCGAGGGTGAGAATGAGAGTTTTATAATTCGGGACCCATGATGTATCCGTGAGTGAAAAGCTCACTTTAACAATTTGGATGATATATAGTTACTTTAAGGCGGTATTCATAGACATATGGAATAACTTTTTGATTACATCTATCATGCATCTCTTATCTTCATATTTAAGATTTTGATCGCGTTTCCTTTTATATTTGGACGGATCGTCGCAATATACAGACATTTTTACACAATAGATAAAACCCACCAACTACAAAAGTCACCACACCGACGGAGCTGTGATGAGTGGACCGCAAAGATTGCATTCTCTTTACGCCCTTGCCATGACATGTTTTGAAACTTATCCGAGATTAGTTAATCCTGAATTATTTTCGACTGGTGGTATAAATAAATTATGGTTTCACCCTAGTATATTTAGTAAACATATTATTCTTGTATATTCCCGGTATTTACGTTTCTGATGAGTTCTTGTTAATTGTGATGACAATAAAATCTGTGTATACTTTCTTATATTGATGACATCATCATAACAAATTCATTCAAGATACCGATTTATTATAAATACGCATTTTGTTGGAGATAAGATTACTCTATACTTTGCTGAACAACCTTTAGCATCCCAATAAATAATTTTTGAAGTGGTTCGTCGCGTATTTTATTTAATTTATATGAATATAGTCGCCATTAAAATGCCCCGATTATTTTCATCCCCGATTAGGTAATCCGAGATTGTTGAAACTGGGCCTAAAGAGCTATTAAATATCCAGTATAATGGACGAAGTATTTCTTTTTGTGTCCTCGTATACAGTACATGTAAAGGTATAAAATTTTTCTAAAGCAAGCGAGGTCGTAACAATGAAAGACGGCCTAGCCGGTCAGTCCCATAAAAAATAACAAGGTGCTCGACGGATGAAGTGTGGTAAAGTGACAAAGGTCAATGATGAGATGAGGCACTTACTTACCTCCTGGCGAGGGCGAGTCCGACTCGTCGCCGTACCCGTCGTCATCTTCTTCTGTCGCCATCATCTGCACGATTGGGATTTCTGGGGAGAGATACAAATTGATTAGTATGTGGCAAAGAATAAATACCTTCGAGTAGACATTGCATACGGTTCCATCGTCCATTGATTGAAAATTGAGGCTTAAAAAGAATATTAGCATTTCAAAAGACTACATTATCCATGAATGTTCAGCGGAAGGCTGTCCCATCTTGACGGTGAGGTACATCCAGAACTGACCGATACGACCTCTTCTTTGTCTCTAGGGTATTGAAATTGTGGAACCTACCTAAGTATAATTTCCCAGTTCTACTAACTTTAGGAAGTTCAAAAATTGGATTAACAAAGTTTATTCAAGCTCCTCGTTGCAGCCGCGGTGCCCTGGTATTTAGGCTTCTGACTGCGCGGCTCCTTTGGTATAAAAAAACTACTAGGAACAATTTCGGTTGTACCGAAACTTTATCAGTTTTTATCCAGTTAAGGCCATTAATGGCCTTGGATATGTGATCATATTTTCTAAGATCATTTACGAGCCTGCAGCATGTATTCGTGATACTTTGGATATGATTTTTTGTTATAATATCTAGATAGGCATAGTAAACCACTAAGCAATACGATATGTTTTTAAATAAGAAATATTCACACATTTGCTTTCTTACAGATTTATGTATATATAGATATTTGCAAATTGGATAACAAATAGTACAGGATGGTCAAATACATGGAATGAAAATAAGATTTTTAGAAAACCTAAACTGTCATTTACTAAGATGAAATACAGGTACTTCCTGGAATACTCCGAACCGGAGCGCCATTGTTTGCTATGAAAAGTTGGCAGACGATTCTTAGAAACGAGAATACCAATACAGTCAAAAACCTGTACTTTAGTTAAGAAAACAAATGTAGAAAACGATTCCTCGAAATCAGGGGCGGATCCAGGAAATATTTTTGGGAGGGGTGAATCTGAAATTACCCGCTTCTGCATCAGTACTTCTTACAGCGAATGTCCTTGTGACAATTGCACAGTGCGAGGGGAGGGGGCTGCAATACTAGGGATATGCCATATGCCAATTTGCATGAAATGGTTTTTGTATACCCCCCCCCCTTAAAAAAAAACAAAATGCTACTTTCATTTCACTCTGTAAATATGTAATATAAATTAAATCAAGACCGACCTATCCTTAGTCCTTATAGTCTTAGTACTATCTACAGCGATAAAATATGCATCACAGCTAGACTTATCGTTCTCTTGATTAAAGGTATAAATAACATTAGCGACTATCTCGGTAGAGATACATCAAAGAGAAAAATAAATTGGAGACTGAGCGTAATAAAACAAATGAGATTTCTGCACAGCATTACGAGAGGTAACACTTTATATACCTTCATTATGAAGATGCAGAGTATTAAAATACTTGAATAATGTGGAGTTCTTTTGCCACAGTAAAGTAATGAACCGTAGATAGGTAGAACATGTCTGTGACATAAAGGCAAAGCTAGGAAGAATAATGGTATTGGTTTCAACAAAAAAGTTAAAAAATCACACGTATCGTAGGCTTGTAATGTTTGCACCATTATACGAGTAGTATAACTCCTGCAAACGTGCAAACGTACCTTTAAGCAATATATTTGATGTATGAGTAAGAAGGCTATAAAGGCGTCCTACAACATTCTAGGGCCTCCTTGATTTTTATAGTTTTCTACTCTTCCGTGTCAGCACCCTATTTATGTTACAAATATCTATTTGCATCAAATTGTTCATACTTTTGATTGATATCATCATATAGCCTGAAATTTTCTACAATTCAAGAAGAAAACATAGCCTGACAATAGGAGAGCGTTGCCACTGACACGGAACAGTAGAAATCTAGAAATATCCCATCCTTTCTGAAGGAGAGGAAAGACTATGAAAATCAAGGAGGCATAAAGGCGTCCTACAATAATTGTAGGGACGACTGACGATATGGCCCTAAGTGGGTTGAGGTAAGTGCATTTTCGCTCCACTACTTCCAAATCTTCGTTAATCGTGGTATTTTAGTCAACAGGAATGAAAGGCGTATTAACGTTTAATTTACATTTTTTCCGCGTAACATCTTTACATATTCTAATACGCACAAGAAGCACTTCCTGCCGAACATTCAACTACATTCATGCATGTGACGACGAAGAAATGACTGATAATTCGGTTGATGAATGAGGATGTGAACGCAGTTATTTTATTAGAACTGTGTTTTTTAGATTGCTAGTCCTGAAAAAGGACTTCACGTTTATGCGTTTATCAAGAAAATAAATATTTTTGAAAGCCTAACATAAAAAAATCATGTTTAGCAATTTTCTACTTGACTTGATTTCCAATCTACTGGACTTGAATGATGTCAAGTACTTTTGCGTCTGTCTGTCAAGTACCTGAAAATTGAAGTAGTCTTAATATTACTTCATGATTTTTGCACTATAAATACAAGTAGATAAATACATAACTGAAAGAATTTATTTGTCACAAGTTTCAGAGAAAGCAATATACATTGAACAAAATAATTTCCTCATCGTATAACAAATAATAGAACGATAAAACTGTAAGCTCAAGTAGAGAAAAAACATATCAGCTGATACAAAAAACTAAAAATTCTGAATTAGCTTTTTACCAAGTTAAGAGACATGAGGGTCCTAACGGATATATAATGGTGGTAAGATTAAAAATAATGGAAGTGACAGCTGACCAGATTTTGAACCACACTCCTATACCATAATAATTATTAATAGGTTACGTCTGTAATACAACATGCACAATAGCTAAATATGTATGGACATTATATTCCGTTCTTGAAAAAACATGTAAAATCAGCTGTTGAGATTTGAAAACGTTTAATTTTAATTTATTTTTATATTCATCGAAAATCAGTGTATCTGTGCCGTGAACCCGCGCTTTACGAAAATATACTTTTCATAGATGGCGCTGCGTTGCCCAAAAGCACCGATTTTGTCATTGAATCTACCGAATTTCAACGACACTAACTACCAATTTCGGGTTGTCTTTTGGTTTGACAACGCTTTTTCCTTGCATCATTTGAGATGGCAGTGCACACTGCATCTCGTGACAATTTTCGATTTTCTACGTGATTATTTTATTAAAATACAAAATACGGCTCATCGGTTACTGGAACCAAAATATATTTTGCCATCAAGTATCAAGTAAGTTGAGAATTCTTAACCTCAAGTCGAGCATTTTATTTTCAACTCAAGATGAATTCCTCATCACGTCCTTAATATTCTGAGTTTGTTTTGCGTTTGGCTACTTCATCGAGAATTTGCGCTTTGTGTCTTAGCTAGTCTGTTGAGACTACCTTCTTCCTAGAGAAAATAAAAGTATACTAACTGATGCATGGAGCGATATGCGATCTGCTCTGTTGATATCCCTTGGCGCATCGGTTGCAGGTGATGCCGACCACGCCGTCTTTGCAGGGACATTGACCGGTTTGCTGGTTGCATGTTTTACCAGATGCTCCAATCGGATGGCAGTCACAAGCTGAAACAAACACATATTCTCAAAGACAAGTTGATTCAAACATACATAAATGCAATATAATTCTTACAGTAACATTACAAACAAATGTCATCAAGCAGGTTGACTCTGCACTTCCCACGCAACGCTGTCATCAGTTCATAAAGAATTAAGTTTAGCGCAATTTAAGTCCTCGGAGAAAAAACTCAGTTATGGACATGTACAGCAAAGGAAGCAGGAAGGTAGCTTAATTCCATTTCCAGAACTGGAAGATTAGGCAATCACATAACACCTTTTGCTTGCATGTGACGAGAAGTAAAAAATGCTTAAGAGCTTAAACGGTATTCCATCGTCACCGCCCCACCTAACTATTTTGAAATATACGCATCCTAGAAAAAAAGTTTCAAACTAAAGCTGGGGGTTTCCAGGGGGCAAAATGACGTTGATTTTGACCATGAACTTGATTGAGATACTCAAGGTGATTTCCAGCGAGCATTTTCAAATGGAACTCTTCCTTTTTGACATCGAAGTTTTAATTAGTACCAGGAATGTTCGAGTATGACCTTGACTATGATCATAACCATGACCTTCAAGGTCATTGCAAGGTGAAATCAAAACATTGAAAACAATTTTCTATAGCAAAAATATCCGATAGCACAGTTGTGCGGTTTGTGGGAGTCACCCAAAGCTGATTTTGACCGTGACCTTGTCCTTCACTGTCAACGTCATATCCAAATTTTACACGTTTAGATACTGGTTTCAATATTTTATGGCTCTTTACAATTTCGGCACAAAAATCAAGGGGCTGCCTTCCAAATAACCTTTAAGATTGCCACTCGTATGTAACATTACCTGTTTTTGTTCAATTCCGGGATAAAAATGAAAATTGAAAATTCCCCCGCAAACCTCACAACTGTGCTGTAAAACATTTTTGCTAGAGCAAATTGTTTTCAATTTCCTTACTTGACCCTGATATGGCATTGAACATTGAAGGTCACGTGGTTGAAGTTCGTAGTGGAGATCATTGTCGAAGTCACCTTCAATTTCACCCCTAGTAGTTTTACTACTACCAAATACTCATGTGGGGAGACTAAAATAGGACTCTCTGTATATGTTGACCCAAAATGACATATCACTTTCTCAGCAGCAGATAGAATACAAAAAGTAGTACTACAAGTGCTTATAACTGGACACTCTACGGAGATTATGTAAAATAATCGCTACGATATCGATCTGGTAGTCATGCTTGTCTCTTGCATAGTAGCTAGTGGCTAACCCACTCCACGTATATTAGTTGGGAACGCCACCTGTGGAGGGATGGCACAAGTACCTATAGTATATAACTAACAGCTGAGGCCATAGAAGCTATGAATGTTCTCCGCTAGCGTTATCTCTGAAGCAGATGTTGCATCACATCATAACCAAAGCACAAGTCCTTATATTAAGATGATGTCATTTGAAGACAATTATTAACCTATTCAAATCGTCAGGAGCGCACTAGTCGTAAAGCAATATTGCAGATTTTTTTTACACCTGATATAGTACTAGGTCAATGATGATATTTTCAAAAAAAATTATCTTTACGCAGAAAAATATTTGATAAAAATATTCTCTTACCAATACTACTCCTGTCGATCTACACTGCAGCCAATTACATACAAAAATATATATCCATGGGTCACTAATTACAAATCTGTTTTCAGAATAACCAGTATGGCGTAATCGAAATGAAACCCTCCAGTGCCCTTGTTTTTCCAATCACAATCCGTCAATATTAGGATTGTTAGCTTCGTGACTACATGACACCAAAAATTGAGATATATAAACCGTAATCGTAGTAAATTCCATCAAGCTACAGTTACGCCAACATTGTTTTCCTGAAGCGACGATATATATTTTAAATTTTGCACCGCTTATTATGCAGTTAATCGGCAACCTGTTCAGAGTTATAGCCTCATTGTTATCTCTAAAAGCATCGACGAAGCTGTTTTTGGTCATAAAGTCCTGATTCTGCAGTTTTCCGAACTCCTTCAGAACAGTGGCGGATCCAGAGACTAAAAAGAATATATCTTTCCTACATATTTTTTTTTTGGAATCAAATCCACGACAAATTTATTAGGTATGGTGAACGTGCTATATTATGATGGTCCCGTTCATCACAACGTAGCGCTGTAGCGAGGTTGGACTAGTTGGAAGATCACGAGGGGCGAGGGGGCATAACATCTATATACAGGGTGTAAACGTTATGATAGTCATTATTTAAATGGGTGATAGAGGAGGTTAAAAGAACCAAAAAGTTTCATATAACAAGGGGGGTCAAAACGGCATTTTTTTAGAGAAAAGCGACTTTAAAGTAAAAGAAAATCTGACAACGCCGCAATGCCAGACGCAAATTACGACGGAACGCAGTGTAAATAAAGATGGAGTTTGTTATTTTTGGCTCTTAGGTATTATTTCATTATTAATGTACTCGTAAAATGCAAACATTAAAAAAACGGACTTACCACTAACTGTCTCATCGCTTCACCTGGTGTGTGAAAGTTTATTGAACGTATTAAAAAAATCCACTTATAAATAGGGAACACAATTTTGATGCATACATTGCTTTTTTTTAAAACCCACACTGCACTTTTTTGTATATAAAGAAGGTGTTCCAAATGTCGTCCGCCACTTTCCACACAAGCTTCATTACGACGAACCCAGTTTCGTCTTACTCTAGGTCTTCGAAGTTGTCCATTTATTATTTCAGCCGCATTAAATTTTTTTTCGCGAAGTTGTTATTGGGCCAGCCCCATAAACCATCCCTTTAAGTTCTCCCTAATACCAGAAATCCATCGGATTGAGGTCAGGAGATCTTGCTGGCCATTTTCGAGGATCAGGAGCATTTCGACCGATCCAGCGATTTGGATAATGTTCATTCAAATACTGAATGACTCCTCTAAAAACGTGTGGTGGTGCCCCGTCATGAATGAACCACAAATTCTTTCTCCGTTGAAATGGCATGTTGTCTAAGGTCTGTTCCAAAAGTTCTGGTAGGTTATTGGCTAGAAAGCTAAGGTATCCTTCTCCTGACAACTTTGGGGGTAACTCGAAAGGGCCAATTACCTGATCGTCAAGAATACCCGCCCAAATATTTATTTTAAAACGTTGTTGGAAATGACCTTCACAAATGGTATGAGGATTTTCAATGTTCTTGTGCAAAAACCACTGACAGAATGTTAGTATGCGAGGATTGTCTTCTGGTAACAAGACATGCACTCGTTGTACATGGATAAAGCAAATTTAACGATATTTAAAATTTGTTCCTCCTGCTCTACAGTAACCTGTCTTTCACGAGTGCGAATATTGGTGGGCTCAACACTTCCTGTATCTCGAAGTCTTTGGTACACTTGCACAAATGTCCTGCTGTCTAACTTTTGTCTAAACTAACAACATGTCGGAGAACTCTTGATTCCAGAACATTGTAAATAAACACGGCGACGTACGCGAACAAAAACAAAACAACACGCCCGATGCTCTGCTCGACAAAACGATAAAGTAATTTATCTATGCAAAACGATAACTAACCACTGTTACCGTTTGCGATCGATTGCCGGTTCGATAAGAGTGATGAAAGACCGACGCGCTGTTGTCATGTGTGTTTTAAATATTTAATTTAATGAAACTTACTTACTTACTGACTACAAATTTTGGCTTAACTTACCATTTATGCCATATATTTGTTAATTACCCAATTTAAAAACGTTTTAGGTTAGATTATAAAAATTAGTAGGATTGTGATGATTATGGTCTATATAAAGCACTTAAAGTTGTAAACTATAAAGCCATTTAGACAAAAATCTATTGACTTTTGGACCATGGGTCACATCAACTTTTTGACTTGTTTTCACCCCTCTATTACCCATTTCAATAATGACTACCATAACGTTTACACCCTGTATTTTATATTGTTCCAACGAATTAAGACTATTTTTCAAACTTGTTAGAATAACTTGTTTCTTAAGTCTCGATTGTGCATGAACGTAAAGCGATACGCGCATTCGCTATCTCTTCGCCATTTCGGGATTGGAAATCGCAGACGTGTGTATCTACAAGACGAGCAACCTGCATCGCTACCGCGGAGAAGACGGACTAGTAGTCCAGTTCTTTCTCCCTAAACACGCGTATGAGATAAAGGTACCTAAATCAATCGGCCAGTTCACAACCTATTTTTTTATTTTCTGAGTTCTAGGACTATGAGTGCATGCCTACCAACCTACAATTGACATAAAGGTTTAGAGATCGGTCAGCGTAGATGTTTACTCAGTTAACCGTTTTTCCTGGTTAAAGAAATCGAGTGTGGGGGACCAGTTGCCGCAGCAGTGCTGCCAGTGCTCGCATCGGAGCTTCTAGTATGGCTGGAGTTCTTTAGGAACCTAATTTTTGGATCACCTTTCGTAATTTACGGTAGCCTTATATTGACATAACAAATTGATTGTACTATATCATCGGCATCCCGGAGTTGCAGCCAGTGGCTAGGAATGAATAACTATAGACCGTTTTAGCGATCGGTGAACAGAGGTCGATTTGAAGACAGCGGGTGCTCAAGCTCCTTCTTTCTTTCTTCTGAAAAACGGGTCTTACCGACCAGAAAACTTATTTATAAAGTACATTTGATTTTTCACTCGAACTACATATTGATTCAGTAAAGCAAATTGCCTGCTACAAATTGATCCTATTTCAAATCGCTGTATTTTTGGTAGACATTTTGTGGCAAAGTTGAACGTACGCCTATGGCAGTGCGATCTCTGAGCTCTTTAAAGAATGCCCTAACATTAAGAATTTGTTTCACTTTTCTCCGCTGATCAGGTGTATGATATGGTACAAACCGAAATGTAAATGAGACTAATTTCGTAATAAATTATTTATAAGCAGAACCTATCAATCAATTTGGCGTATCGGAATGCCCGGCGCAGAATACATAATTCATCTGTCTGGACAGTTTTCCGTCTCACTACGACGACTGAAGTTATTTTGCGTCCGTA